GCTATTGCTATTGCTATTGCTATTGCTATTGGTAGCAACCTAGCATTAAGAAGAAATTTCCTACCAGTGAGAACAGTCAGCCAATGGAACAACTTGCTTTCAAGAGTCATGAGTGCTCCATCACTGGAGGCTTTCAAGTTCCCCTCGCACGTATGTGCTAGTCGTTCCTGACTCTTTCTACCTTTCTTGGGTTCAGTGCTAATTGCTTATTTGATGCCTTAGAAATGTCCATTGGTTCCTGTTCGTCAATATTTTTAAAAAGGTAAAGGTTCCCCTCGCACGTATGTGCTAGTCGTCCTCGACTCTAGGGGGCGGTGCTCATCTCCGTTTCAAAGCCAAAGAGCCAGAGCTGTCCAAAGACCTCTCGGTGGTCATGTAGCCAGCATGACTAAATGCTGAAGGCGCATGGAACGCTTTTCCCTTCCCATCAAATGTGGTCCCTATTTTTCTACTTGCATTTTCACATGCTTTTGAACTGCTAGGTTGGCAGAAGCTGGGACAAGGAACGGGAGCTCACTCCATTACGCAGCACTAGGGATTCGAACTGCCAACCTTTCTGATAGACAAGCTCAGCGTCTTAGCCACTGAGCCACCGCGGCTTTCAGTAAGAGATTGAACTGCCATTTGTCAGAAATGGTGTAGAATCTGCTCTATGGGTGGTGGCGGGTTGGACTAGTTGACCTACAAGGTCCCTTCCAACTCTATTAATCTGTTAAACTCTGTTCAATGGTATAGGGTCTCCTGCTTGAGCAGAACATTGGACTAGATGACCTCTGAGGTCCCTTCCAATTCTATTATTCTTGTGATGATCTTGATAATTTCTTTTGAACATTACCATCTGGAGAAGTTTGGTATTAACCAGTAAACATGGTTACTTCACTTCTCTATCATCTTAATCCTCTCACTGCGCTCAACTTAAAAAAAGTATTCACCCAACATTGATCCCTGAGTTACTTAATTCTAGAATTGTTGATTTATTCTTGCTCCTTACTTCCTGTTTTTCTAACAGCTCTCCATCCATAGGAACATCTGTTTTTATATTCCATGATATCTCTCAGGCATGGACAATTATTTCCACATGTGAAGGGCTCAATTTAATGCTTTATCGCTAAAGCCTTGACTCTGGAACCTTCTCGGAGTTGCAGTTTGCACCGGGGTGGAAGATAAGGTCCAATGGCATCTCCAGGGCTCTGTTTTAGTACTCTTCAACATATTCATCAATGATTTGGATGAGGGGATGAATTGGGAACTCATCAAATTTGCAGATGACACCTAACTGGCAGGAATAGCCAACAGTCCAGAAGATAGGCTTAAGATACAGAAGGATCCTACCAGACTAGAATATTGGGTGTTATCTAACAAAATGAAATGCAATGGTAAAAAAAAAGTAAGGTTCCATATTTAGGCAAGAAAAACAAAATGAACAGGTACAGAATATATAGTACCTTGCTCAATAGTAGTAACTGTGAGAGGGATCTTGGAATCCTAGTGAGCAACCATTTCAGTATGAGCCAGCCATGTGCAGCAACTGCCAAAAAAGCCAACACAGTTCCAGGCTGCATAAACAGCGGGACAGAATCAAGATCATGTGAAGGGTTAATACCACTTTATAAGGCCTTAGTAAGGCCACACTTGGAATACTGTATTCAGTTTTGGTCACCACAATGTAAAAAAAGATGTTGAGACTCTAGAAAGAGTGCAGAGAAGAGCAACAAAGAGGATTTGGGGGACTGGAAGCTAAAACATATGAAGAACGGTTGCAGGAACTGGATATGTCTAGTTTAATGAAAAGAAGGACTAGGGGAGACATGATAGCAGTCTTACAATATCTCAGGGGCTGCCACTAAGAAGAGGGAGTCAAGCTATTCTCCAAAGCACCTGAGGTAGAACAAGAAGCAATGGATGGAAACTAATCAACGAGACAAGCAACTTAGAATTAAGGAGAAATTTCCTGAGAGAACAATTAACCAGTGGAACAACTTGCCTCCAGAAGTTGTGAATGCTCCAACACTGGAAGTCTTTAAGAAGAAGTTGGATAACCATTTGTCTGAAGTGTGGTTTCCTGCCTAGGCAGGGGGTTGGACTAGAAGACTTTCAAGGTCCCTTCCTACTGTGATCTATTCTATTCTATTCTATTCTATTCTATTCTATTCTAAGGCAGTTTGACTTAGAATAGAATAGATGACAACATAGAGATTCTAAACTAATTCCCCATTTGACTCCTCCCCCTAGCTTTGCCAGTCTCTCTCCGACAGTGTCTCAGTTTGTGTCTCAGTAAACTACTTTCCTCACCAAAGAATAGATCTGTGGTGTTTGTTTGTTTTTTTCAAATCCAGACTTGAAAAAAGGATGAAAAAGACAAATAATGGAAAAAGGGGGAGAAGGGATATCAAAAGGCTTTTTAAACCATAGCAACTCTGTATATTAACAAGAGTTCTCTCTGGCAGTAAATAAAATGCAACTCAAATAATGTCACTTGAGATTTTTAAAAAAAGTTGTGAAATCTATTTTTCCTTAGATGTATTCACAGGTGGTTGCAAAAAGGGAAAAAATAGGTCCAACTAGCTTCACACATTTTTATTAAACTGCACACTCACTGACATAAAGCACATAAGATGAGGGAGAAGGAAAAGAAATTTTTTAAAAAATAAACAGTGAAAATCAATTTAAGTTGCCCCCATTAAAATGAAGCCGGGGGAAGTGAAACAGAATTTTTTTTCCAAAACAATAGATCTTCGGAAAATTGTCACCCATCATGGTAAGAGAGGCTGGTGACAAGATGGAGCCTAACTTTTAGCTTTAAGCAACATTTTAGACTGAAAAAGTCTGAACAATAAAAAGAATAATGATGGAGAAATAACTCTGTAGAACATCTGAAATACTTTTTAGGGTAAGTTTTAGCTAGACTTGTGGACTTCAACTCCCAGAATTCTCCAGGCAGCTCTGCTGGCTGGAGAATTCTGGGAGTTGAAGTCCACAAGTCTTAAAGTTGCCAAGCTTGGGAACCACTAATCTAACATTCTGTTTTATGTAAGAGCTATCCAGATGCCTTGCAGAGTGGCAAAATTAATTAATTGGATGGTTGCTAATGAGATTATCTGTCAAAAATATTTTTTATGGACAAATTGATCCTTTATTGTCAGTCCCATCAATTCATTCAACCTCAACTCCCCCACAAACTGCAAAATGTTTAATTTGTGTGAGAAATTGCACTTAAAACGTGTATTTAGAACAGATTTCAAAACTTAGTTTTCCCTTCGGAAACACACACACACACGCTTAAGGCTAATTTCAGCAAATTAAAATATTTAGGAAGCATGGAATCGGTTGGATTCATAGCCATATAAATATCCAGAAGGTGTTGATTACTGATAGACCTTGACTTACCATTACTCATTTAGTGACTGTTCAAAGTTACACCACTGGAAAAAAAGTGACTTATGACCATTGCAAGCATCCCCATGGTCATGTAATAAAAATTTAGACACTTGGCAACTGGCATGTACTTAAACAGTATGATGGTTAGAGTGTCCCAGGGTCACCTGATTACCTTTTGTGACTTTCTGATGAACAAAGTCAGTTGGGGAAGCCCGATTCATTTAACAACTGTCTTCTTAATTTAACAACGGCAGTGATTCACTTAACAGCTCTGTCAAGCAAGGCCATAAAATGGGGCAAAACTCACTTAACAACTCACTTAGCAGCAGAAATGTTGGGCTTTCAAGCAAATTTGGTACACAGAGGACTTACCCTCTGGAAACAAATACTCTGGGGTAACACACTCCTAACACTCCTTAGGGTGTGTGTTCTGTTAAGATACAGCCTGTTGTGCTTTCAAATGGCTTCTACTGTACTGCAGTAANATATAAGTCTAACTGCTATTGCTATTGCTATTCTTTTTCCTCTTCAGAGTTTCTTATGACATATTCCATTGTTATTTTTGGCAGTTTGCATCTAAATTTCACCGAGCAATTTTCTTGGCCTCTTGGAGCTACAAAAATGGAATATGGGCGGGGTACATATCTAGATTTCTTATCACTAAATTAGAGGACTAGTTGATTACAAGTTATGGACTTTTCTGCCTTTTATGTATCTGTTGTTATGTTCTTGCGTAGGAATTTCAGATTGGAAAGATACCAAATAAGAACAATGACTTAATAATTGTCTGTCTGTCTATCATCTGTCTGTTATATTTGTATGGCTACCCATCTCACAAAAACATACATTTCAATATGCCCTAATACGTATCTTAAAACAGTGGGGACACACACACACACACACACACACACACACACACACACACACACACACACACAAACACCCTACCTAATTCTGGACATTTATTCACAACTGACCCGGGTTGTAAAAATGGCAGCAATTCCCCCCCTTTTGTATTTATTTATTATGTTGTTGCTAATACCTGTCAGCTTGATTAGAGAGGGTGAGGATAGCCTTGGCAGCACTGCTCCCGGTCATCAGGCTGCCTCCTCGAAAATCAAAAGCTCTTCCCTTACTGCTTTCTTTGATGAGATCCTGAATGGATACTGGTTGGATGACAGGATTGTTCCTTAGGGCTGTCTCTTGCTCCAGAATCAGTTCCTGGGGAGAGTCTGTAGTCTGAACTTCACCCTGAAGTGCCACTGCTCCCTGTTGGGCTTGGGTGATAGTTACAGGTGGCTGAGAAGTGCCATCGCTGAAATGGGCATGTTCCAGAGTGCTGATGTATTCACATACTCTGAAAATAAAAATGGGAAAGTGAACCACAGCATTGATGGTTCTGCTAGTTTATTTGCTGCAACTCTCATTGGCTATATCAAACATTTATCCTTTAAAGGTCATCCTCAATTATTTCAAGAATACAAACAACCAAGGTGCCACTGTAGGGACCAATTCAACAGCAATTAATAAATCTATAAACAAAAGAAGCATATATGCTAATTACAAATTAAAAGGATAACCTGAGATACAATCAGTAACAATGCTAATGAATCCTAAAGTATAACTTTAAAGTTAAGACCTATTGGTTTTTATTTTGAACAGGTCTGCCGGGCCACCCTGCCACCTCCAGCTCCAGCTGACCAGCCGCTTCCTGTCTACGGTCCTCCTGTGCCGCCTAGAAGTCAACAGCCCAGACGCCAGCAAGCCCGCCGAGATGACTGCTACGCCCTGGAGGAAGATCTCCCTGCCACCCCTGCAGTGTTGGTCAGCCAAGCCTCGGCTGGTACGCGGAAAATCACCATCACCGTTTCCATTGAGGGCTCTCCCTGCCTTATGGAAGTCAACTTGGGCTCCTCCCGATCCCTTCTTTCCTGGGCCACCTTCTCCCATCTGTGCCCTAAAGTCCCCAAGTCACAGCTCTCTCCCGCGGACACTTTGCTCAGGGACTACCAGGGGACTAATATTCATACCCTGGGCTGCTATGGGATGCGGGTGCAGTATGGGGGGAAGTGTGCTTTCCTGCAGGTCCTGGTGGTTGAAAAACCCCTCCCATCTCTATTGGGCCTTGAGTGGTTCACCCCTCTGGGCTTATCCCTGTCAGGGGTGCATTCTATGGCTTCTATGGTGGACACGCCCCCTGACATCACGGCTGTCCTCCAGGACTATGCTGATGTCTTCAATGGCGAGCTTGGGCGGTATAAGGGGACCCCTATCTCCCTCAACTTAGACCCCCAGGTTGCCCCCATAAGGCTGAAGGCCCGCAGGGTGCCTTTTGCCTTGAGGCCTAAGGTTGATGCCGAACTCAATAAGCTGTTGGTGCAGGCCATCTTGGAGCCCGTCGACCATTCACGATGGGAGACCCCCATAGTGGTCCCCGTGAAGGCCGACGGGTCCATCAGGATCTGCGCCGACTACAAGTCGACTATCAACCTTGGCCTCCAGACAAACCCCTATCCAGTCCCTGTCGCGCAGCACCTGCTCCACTCCTTGGGGCAGGGCTGCATTTTCACCAAACTGGATATGGTGCAGGCCTACCAGCAGTTCCCGGTGGATGACGATGCGGCGGCTGCCCAGACCATCGTCACCCACCGCGGGGCTTTCCGTTGTCGCCGCCTCCAGTTCGGCGTTTCCGTTGCCCCGGGGATCTTCCAGAGCCTCATGGAGCGCTTGCTCCATGGGCTCCCCGGCGTTGTCCCCTACTTCGATGACGTCCTGATCGCTGCAAACAGCCGCTCAGGGCTCATCGAAGTCCTTCGGAAGGTCCTCGACCGTTTTAGGGGCGCGGGTCTCAAATTAAAGCTCAGCAAATGCTCCTTTGCTGTGCCTCGGGTGAAGTTCCTGGTCTTCATGATTGACGCCCAGGGAATCCACCCCACCCCTTCTAAAATCTCGGCCATCAAGAACACTCCTGCCCCAACCTCCAAGGCGCAGCTGCAAGCATTCCTCGGCCTTTTAAACTTTTATGCGCCGTTCCTCCCTCACAAGGCGTCACTAGCCGAGCCGCTGCATCGGTTGCTCGACCGATCCATGGCCTGGCAATGGGGCAGCCGCGAAGCACATGCGTTCACGGCTGTCAAATCCTTGCTGACGTCAGAGGCAGTCTTATTCCAATATAGCGACAAGATGCCCCTGACTTTAGCTTGTGACACCTCTCCCGTGGGCTTGGGGGCGGTCCTCAGTCATGTTCTGCCCAATGGCTCAGAGGCCCCCATCGCTTTTTACTCCTGGACACTTTTCTCGGCCGAGAGGAACTACAGCCAG